AGTGCAGAATTTTTCAGTTTTGTCAAGAGCCATAGAACACAGAAATGCGCAGTAGTTGAAGTTGGAAGGACCTTTTGAAATCACCTGAGGGATCGTTTTTCTCTGTACATTTGCAGCCAGTTCAACATGTTAGACAAACAGTATGTATACCATCAAAGTCAGTAAGACTTGTCTCACCCACCCCGGAAACACTTAATCTCTCACAATACCTACAAAGCACTCAGAGGCTTTGTGATGGATGTCCAAAAAAGAAGTGAAATTTTCCTGAAGAAAAACAGTAGACCATATTTTCTTTATTTATGACATCTAGTGCTGAAGAAACGCTAAACTTATTTCTTCAGTCCTATGGAGCCTGACCCGGTCTCTCCCCTGAGGAACATCAGTCTTTCCACTGACTTTCGTATGTCTGGATCACATACATGGTGCATGTAGTGTATCTCTGTCCCATAATACATGGAATTTTCTCCTAACTGTTGAAAGGTATATGGTAAACTTCACACACACACACACATATATATACACATATATAAAAAGAGTTGGATTTTACGGCCATGGCTGGGAATGAAAGTAATCATTAGGAAGTTGCACCTTGTACCTTGTGCCTACTCCAATACTGAAGTCTATAGCAAAATACAAAATCTGGAGGAATGAGGGGAAGCCATTATTACTTTTTCTATGAAAATGCTATTTTTATTAAAAGCAGGAGGTGGGCTGAAGGCGGCACTCCTCTTTAAAATAACTTGGATTTAAGCATCAATAATGGAAATTTATATACTGTGGCTGGGTTATGTCTAGCACCTCTCCCATCTTTTCTAACTGTCCATAAATAAAAATGTTTAAGGCCAATGAATATAATCAATGAATGATCTTAATGTTCTGCTTTCAAATTGTTTCCATTTCATAGGAAGTTCAAGTTTCCTTCAGTAAATGGTTTAAACTTTCCCATTCATACTCACTTTCTAGTAAAATCTTTTTTATCCATATTAAATCTTAGTTTACTTATTGGGGAAGAGCAAGAATGCCACAGAATAATCACAAAAGTGGTCATTTTAATGTTAAATTTCTTAAAAATATTTAGCAGCTCCTTTTCTACTATTTGGAATAGAAAAAGTGCATTGCTACTTTTAGTCTCTTGGGAGCATCTATGTTGGCCTTCTAAACAGACTGTCTGAAATGCAAGCCTGAGATCTAGATCAGAAGTGATTAACCTCTGCAATTGTGGAGGGCCTCACTGCTTTCTACGGAGCTCTAGAAGAGAGTGGCAAAGACCAGCACTGAGAACTGAGTCCTTGATTTCTCCAGGTAGGGAGAATTTACCAGCCAGTGTCTCAAACAGTAGAGTTGGGCACATTTTCCTGCTGTCTGATATTGTCAAAACTTGGAACCTCAAGAACATGGTAGGAAAAGAGGAAATGTCAACTGCCTCTACTGAGTGTGATTTACTATAATTTACTATAAGCAAAGAAAAACATTCTTTTTTTTTTAAATAAAACCACATAGCCATTTTTCTGAGAACAAATTTTCTCAACAAATTAAGCACCTTCTACTTTACAAGGAACACAAACCACCATTGATTACAAATACAGTCTATCCTGCTAAAATACTGAAGAAGATAAAATCCTAAGCATTCCTGCAGGACTGAACTCTAAAATTAAAGAGCTAGAATCTTCCATGTTTCTTTTATTAAAGTTTATCTCACATTCATAATGAGCCCTTTGCCACCAGTTCACTTCAAACACTCTGGCTTTTGGTACTGGTCTAGGAAAATCATTCGCTCAGTCTTGCCACTTTCTTTCCAGTGGTCGAGAGGGAGGTTAGTTAACAATCTTTCCTCACCTACTCTTTATTCATTCCCTGTGTATCACAAATATTTAATACATGATTCCAGATTCTGGTTAAGTGCTCAGTGCAAAAATTCCAAGCCACAAGCCAGGTGCTTGACAGGGCTGGGGGAGGAAACAGATTGCTCCTACCTATGGGTCCAGGGATTTAGAGCTGGAGTAGAATGAGTGGTGGAGCTGTTACCAGCCATCCCTGGGGTTCTGCCCTGGAGGAAGGCTCTGAGGGATGGTCAGGGCTGGCAGGAGCCCCTGGGAGAGGCTGCTATGGAGAAGTGCTTAAATTCATAGAGGCTCCCTGGCCTTGGAATCGATGTGGAGGAGACAGTAGGATGGAACTAGTTACCGGAAAGTCTTTAGAAATGTAGCAGGTGGAAAATTTATTAGATATAATAAAATATTGTAGAAGCCTACTGCCAACATTTTAAACAAGATAATTCCCAGTAACAATCCACCTGATTTTACCCTGGGTGTCTGAGGAAGTGGAGAGTCTATTCAGCCTTCCACATCACCAAATGCTTTCTCATTTCTGTCCCCTTACCTGCACTCCCCTTATGTAGCAGTGAACCTACATAACACATTGCCTCATGCTCTATTCCTGGATAACAGAACAGATACATGGGTGAAGCTAAACCATACTTGGCTTGTTCACCCTAAACTTGTGGAAGAAGAGACTTTGGGGCAAAAAGAAAAGTATTCTTGGTATCAATTTCTGGGAATTTTTGTTTAAAATTCCTTCCATTTTTGTGACCTGGCCTAGGCCAAGAATACGAAAGAAAGAAATGTGCTCTTTGGGAGTATTTCAGTAATACCTAGCGATAAGTTGTCTCTGGAAGTGATTATTTCAGCAGGATCCAGGGAGGATTTAAAATCTAAATAGAAATAGAAAGCAGCCCAGCGCTCTATTAGAATTGGTGGTAAAATTAAGACAAGTGTCTCAGCAACCCAAGAACTTTTGCCAAATATCTCTAGGATGGCATTTTAACCTTGGTTTATGTTGTGGCTGCTTCTTTTGAGAGCCTTTAGGGGAGGAGTAAAAGGGCATAAGCACCACACAATTTCTTGTACTGCGTCTCCAAATCTAAGCAGTACAGAGTGAATGAGGTCAGAGGAAACATAAGCAGTCCTCCCCAACCTCTCAGCACCTGGTTTGCTATTAAAACATCTGTGGTAATAAGTGATTGAGTTTGGCCTAAATCCCAGCCTTGTGTCTATTTTTGCATAACAGAATGGATATGACCAGTAAGAGTGGTTATATGTTTGTCTCTGTTCACATAACTGCTTTGTGTTTCGCTGGTCGAGGAAAGGGCTTGTCCCACTCTGCTCTGCACTGCTGTGGCCTCACTTCCAGAACTGTGTGCAGATTTGGGTGCCACCATACAAGGACATAAAACTATTAGAGAGCATCCAAAGGAGGGCTACAGAAATGGTGAAGGGACTGGAGGGCAAGGTGTGTGGGGGGCAGCAGAGGTCTCTGGGCTTGTGCAGTCCAGAGCAGAGGAGCTGAGGGGAGGCCTGATGGCGGCTGCAGCTCCTCACAGGGAGCGGAGGGCAGCGCTGAGCTCTGCTGTGTGTGACAGCGACAGGGCTGAGGGAACGGCATGGAGCTGTGCAGGGGAGGGAGGGTGGGGATCAGGGACAGGGTGTGCACCAGGGGGCGGTGGGCATGGAACGGGCTGCCCGGGGCTGTGATACAATCCCGAGGTGCCAGAGCTCATGGAGCATTTTGACAACATTCTCAGAAATAGAGCTTTGAGTGTCCCCGACAGGGATCTCTTGGAAAGAGTCCCGCAGAGGGCCACGAAGATGCTGAGGGGCCTGGAGCATCTCTCCTATGAAGAAAGGCTGAGTGAACTGGGTCTGTTCAGCCTTGAGGAAAGGAGACTGAAAGGGGACCTGATCCAGGTCTATAAGTATATACGGTGTGGGGGGCAGAATGGCGAGGCCGGACTCTTTTCAGTGGTGAATGGAGACAGGACAAGGGGAAATGGCCAGAAACGGCAGCATAGGAAGTTCCACACAAATGTGCGCAAGAACTTCTTTACAGTGAGGTGACGGAGCACTGGAACAGGCTGCCCAGGGAGGTGGTGGAGTCTCCTTCTCTGGAGATGTTCAAGACCTGCCTGGATGCCTACCTGTGCGACCTGGTGTAGGGAACCTGCTTTGGCAGGGGGTTGGACTTGATGATCTCTGGAGGTCCCTTCCAACCCCTACAATTCTGTGATTCTGTGATTCTGTTTGGAGAGGGGTGTCAGACTGGATGAGATTTGTGCCTGTCTTCCAACTCAGGATGTTTGATTCTGTAATTCTAGGGACAACCTCAGTTCTGCTTCTGGGGTTTTGGCCTCCAGGGTGAGTCAGCGTCACAGCACAAAACTCTGGCAATTATATTCATAAGACCTTGAGAAAATGGCTCCTTACGAAATGGTTGTGGGATCTTTGGAGAAAGCAAAATTATGAGTGGGCCATCTCATAGCCTACGCCTAAAGCCTGAGTCTGGTTTGGTAGCGCTTCCTGCCTTCATCTTTTAAAATTCAGTCTCCTGCATTCAGGTCCAGCCTGAGAACAAGCCAAGTTATGCATTTTTCAATTTCATCACCTGCACTGTGAAAGAAAGATGTAGGTGTGGTTGCATATGTGGATTTCTGCAGGTACAGCTGAAGTCATGCTGTCACTTCTGACAGTTTGCCCCCAGCGCTGGCAGAATGCCTCCCAGCTACAGCTCATGTATTTGAAGGCATGAAAAACTGAATTTGTAATTAAGAAGGCATTGAAAACACAGGTGTCTAGATCGGATGCTTGTCAGGTATATTGCAGACTCCCTTTACCAGCAGAATCATGTTGCTAATCTGTTTGTAGAACTTGATTTATGAAGATTAATAAGACAGCCAAATTATGTCAACTTATGGCAAAAACCATGTATTTTTCTTTTGGTTCGGATTCCAAAAGGTTATTTTCTTTCTCATAAGGCTATTTTTAATGGCAGAACGTATGTGTACGCTACCCAGTCCTGCACGGAATGCCAGGACAGTTCACAACACTGTGATTATGTGACCCACCAAAAGTTTAAGCAAAAAAAAATTAATTTATTTATTAATTAATAGCCATTTCAAACCTGGAAAGAACCAGAGTATGTCAGTTATTTATTTTCTTCTCTCTTAGGACCTGATCCAGAAATCCTTGGTTTCTTCTCTGTTTGTGTCTCCTTATCCTTCTCAGTGATAACTGGAAGTTCCTGGTGTCTTCTGGTGTCTAGTAAGCCAAATTCTATTAAGCCTGTATAAATAAATACATGAATAAATGGAAATCTCTATATTAAACACTGTTAATCTTGACAACCTACATTGTCACCATTTCATCTACCCTTTTCCTAAACACAAAGCTCTTAAGGATATGAGTAGCCACAGACCTTTAACCAATCTTAATGGTCACGTCTGTTCTGTTGTGCAAGAGAAGACATAAGTGTGGGATATAGGCCAAACTCAACACCCTTACACATTATTTGCCCTCAGGCAAATTACAGAGTTCTTTTCTGAGATAATTCATTGGGTTCTTTCAATTGGGTTCTTTCAATTGGAATGATCCCTGGTTGTTCTGCTTTCAAATACATTCAAGAAAACCTTCCTCTATGCTTTTCCCCATAAGGTGAAACCGCATGAATGATAATAGAGAGAAAAGGCATTCACTGAAGAGGGTAAGTGGAGAAGTCTTCATTAAGAAATCCCCCTGCCACTTAACAAACACTAAAATGTATAGATTGTTGAAGCCTCTATTAAGGTTTCTATTAAGGTTTAATAAATCTAGACTAGACCAAAATCTATATATGTAGGTCTTGGAAGTGAATCAATTTATTATAGATACTGGGAAGGGGAGGGAATTTAAGCTCTTTCATGTGCTTTGATCCACAATCCCATAACATTTTCCAGTAGTAAAAAAAAAAAAAAAAAAAAAAAGCCAAGACTTGTGATGGCACCTGCATTATTTTATCTGCATATGTAAGTTATGGGGTTTTTTTGCAAGTAAAAAAACCATTTTGGGGCATTCATTTGGTTCAGACATCATTTTCTTCTACATAACAATCAATTCACAGATTCTGAAAATGACTAAATTGTGGTCTTTTCATCCTCAGAAGAAGATAAAGATGTTCTGCAATCTGACCACAGCATCACACTAGAGGTGGTTCTGCTGCGTGAAGAAGCTTTAAAGCACATGGGATGTAACTGTGTGCTCAAAACAGATTTACAATTGCCCAGTCAGAAACAGCAGCAAAGGAAGCAGGGCCAGAGCAGTGACTGGAAAAATCTGGGGCCTTGCTGACTATAGATATAATAAGGGTTCATTGGCTAAAAAGCAAAACAAAGCAAAAAAACAACAACCTTAGTCTAGAAAATTATTTTAGTTACAGGGTTTCTGGGGCTCTTACCGTGGATGAAACATAAAATTGAACACTGTTATGCAACAGAGAACATGATGAATTTCACATGATAGTCAAGCTTTTTATACTTTGTGAGTAAAGTTTTCTTCCCAAATCAAGGAATTAATAACCATTTATTAAGTTTCCCAAAGTCTAAACATCACACAGTCCTCCAAACCAATGAAATCTGGTCGAATCCAATATTCTACTTGAAGAGCTTGACTTTACAGATCAAAACTTAAACATTTGTGTACTCACATTAATTTCACTGTCATGTATATGGCACTGGAAATTTAAGTATGACTCTGTCTCTGAGAAGACTGAATAAGTTCTTACAATAGTTCTCCATCTTATAGTAGCTTTTCATATTCCTGCTTCCTGTCCTACCAGAGATTTTGGCTAACAAGTTGTGTATACAGCAGTTTTAGAAAAATACACTACCTGACTGTAAACTTCCAGGAGTTGAACAGTTTTAATATTTTAACCTCTATGTATTATTCAAGTTTCAAAGTCGTTTTCATTCCTATTTCTTTCTCACTGTGGTCTTTTAATGTATGATCCCACTGAAGTGACTGAAAATTATCACACTGACATTTTTGACACGTTGGCATGCTAGAAGAAGGAGATGTGGAAGCCTGTTGTTTTATGGAGGAAGGAGTAAAATTACTAATTCAAATTAATCTCTTTTTTTAATTGCAGTAAATAGCTTGAGGGAGATAGGCACAGTTAATCAGCGCTCGATTTAAACTGCTGAATCTTCAGGTTTTGTGTGAACCAGTACATGCTTATTCCTGTAGGGTTGCAGCCTACATGCTTATTACCAAAAGCTTCAGATATATGTGGGTGTAGTCTACAACTGCAACTGCTTTGGCCAAATGTTCTGGACCGTTGGAGTCTTCTGACAATAGAAGCAAAGGAAAAAACCCATCACTGTATATATAAGACAAGAAATGCAACTTGTACTTGTCTCATTTTTCCATTTTAATAATCAAAATCTTCGGTAAATATTAATCATTTAATTCTGCCAACCCTTCCTTGAAGAAAGAAAGTAGGTAAAGTTATCACCATTGCACAGACAGGAAGATTGAAGCAGAAATATCACACATCACACAATATATTCCCAATTCAGAAGTCAGAAATATGTATCACTTAACCCTGAATGTTCATTAGCATGGTCAAAATGGACCAGTATCCTTTGGGAATGCCATAGTGACTCTTTACAGAGATATACGAGCATTTTTCATGCACAGCAAACAGAATGGAAAATAAAAAGATCAGCTCTCATTACCACCTATGTTCATGCTTCTAAATATTATATGTTATATATAGGCTATATGATACTTCTGACACCTGCACCAACTAATTTGGTCTAGATTATATTTTATCAAAAAACAAAACAAAACAAAAAAAAAGCGAAGTGTTAGAGCAGTGTTGGGTCCAGCCTGGAACTATTCCTTGTATCTCACTTATTAGATCATTATTTTATACCAAAGAAAAAGATGGGTTATTTTTCCCTTCTGCACCTCTCTGTGATATTGCTAAATCCTCTTTGAGAAGTGGACTTCTAAGTAAGAAGGGCTTGGATGCCTGAGACAGGAGCTTCCTTTGTATGCACTCTGCATGCTAAGCTCTTCTGTGGTTTGTAAATCTCTGCAGGTGCCTCCGATCAGGGCAACACTCTGAACTGGATATGCTGAAAAATTCACCAGTCGGGAGTGTGCTGGCTGTTCCAATTGCTGTACAATTAATTGTGAACAGATGACATGCATGAGTGCTCAGCTACCAGCAGGAAAGGTCTTTTAAGTACATGGCAGGACCTATGAACTTACAAATACATAAAGGCCAGAAGGGTGGGTTACAACCTCTGTCTAGCCCAGACATGCTGCAAGCACAGTTTCTCCAAATGTTACTTAAACTGTGCCATAACTGCTGGTAAAGCAAATGCAGGTGAACTTTTTGACGCTCTACTTTCATTTGACAGAGACCCATCATGCTCACAGGACTCAGGGAGAAATGAACAGTGAGAGATGTTCCTAGGTCTCGATGAACCCTTCTGCTCCAGCCAGGAACAGGCCAAAGCTGAGAGTTTATTTGGATCCCAAAGTCCCCATAGCCTACACCTGTCCAGCACCAGATCGAGTCACACTGACTACACACCCATGAGCCGTGTGTGGATAAAATGTCACAGGCTCAAAGCCCTTGCTAACACCACAGCCTTGAAAGAAACAATGCGCGACTAATCCCAAACTCCCTTAGCTTCTTTTTGCTGTCCCTACTCTCCTCCACCTCACCCAGCAGCTTCGGTCCAAAGGGAGAAACACTGAACTGTGACAACTAAATCATGGAATCGCAGAAACATAGAATGGCCTGGGTTAGAAGGGACTTAAAGGATCATCAAGCTCCAACCCCCCCTGCCACAGGCAGGGCTGCCAACCTCCGTATCTAATACTAGACCAGTTAATTGATTGTTTATTTATTTTCACATATTTTCCTTATAAATTAAGCTAATACATAGTATTGGAGGGATGGTTCATCTCCTGCTTAAGCTTCTAGGTGACTGAAGAGTCAGATATGCTGAGACCCAGCACGCATTCCCCTAAGAGACTGGGACAACCAGTCCCAAACACCAAAGAGTTTAAAGTGTGGTGCTACAGCTGTGGTCAGAATAAGATTTGGAAACTGTGTCAGCTTCATTTCAAGCAGTTAAGATCTGCTGTAATTGTGGTTTGAAGGTAAGCTTCACAGTGAGCATCTTTAAATTAACTTGGATATGAATTTAGACATACAGTTACACACACCTATTTTTAAGGACAGGGATATTGATGTTGGCAAGGCAATAAATTCCAGTAATATCTCTCTGTAGAATAAAGCCAAGACAATTCAAACTCGTTTATTTTTTGTCTTCGCAATGTTTTGCCAAAACCATCATTTTGTTGGCCACATAATTCTGATTTATATTCAACAAGAGTAGTAAAAAGCCTTTATAGAGGAGACAGCCAGAGTGACATTTTCCTATAAATCACAGTGATTTTTACTGCCACAAGATCCCGCGGCTCTACTTCAAATACAACTGCGCTGCAAAATGCGTGGATGAAACTGCATTCTTTCTGAATGAGAACCATGTTTCCCTTTTGCAGTGAGTGACTCCACATTCCTATCAGTCTCTAGCAGATAATAACAATATCCAAACAAAAGCAGTTTTCAGAGCTGATAGAACAGTGATGGGAAAACATGTTCAAAGTGGGTGCCACTCTGCATTATATTATTCTTAAAAAAAAAAAAAAAAAAAAAAAAGAGGTAGACAAGGTGCATAAGGGACAGTAAATTCTTTTTATTGTGTTTCTGTTGGTTGCAGTTCTGCAGGGAAAACTGTCCTGCTGGAAGAGTATGGAACAATGTAACTGTAACTGAAGTGATATTTAACTACTACCCTGGAATCTAGTACTGCACAGTTTTTATGTAATCCTATAGACACTTTAATCAGGTAAGGGAATTGGGAAATACCTACATCCATTTCTTAACATAACAAAGGAAAATCTATCAAGGATTGCTGTATTCCTTCAGGAGGAGCAATCTCATGCAAGAATATAAGCTGAGGGCCACCCAGCTGGAAAGCAGCTTGACAGAAAAGGATCTGGAGATTGTGGTGGACACCAAGTCGAGCATAAGCCAGCATCGTGCCTTTCTGTAAAGAAGGCTAATGGCATTCTTGACTGCATTAGGCAAAGCATCACCAAGACAGGTGATCCTTTCACTCTACTCAGCACTGATGAGGCCACACCTGGAGTGCTGTATTAAGTTCTGAGGCCCCCAGGGAGACATGATCATAATGGAGACTCCAATAAAGAGCCTTGAAGATGATCATCTCTCCCATGAAGGAAGGACGAGAGAGACGGAACATTTTCACTTGGAAGCTCAGGGAGGGATCTTACCAATGTCTATAAATACCTGAAGTGGGGATGCAAAGGGAAGGAGCCAGTCTCTTTTCAGAGGTGCCCAATGCCAGTACAAACAGCAGTAGGTACAAGCTGGAACACAGGAGGATCCCTCTGAACACCAGGAAACTCTTCTGTGCTGTGTGGGCGGCTGAGCACTGGCAAGGTTGCCCAGAGGCTATAGAGTCTCCTTGGAGATCTGCCTTCAAGAGCCACCTGGATGTTGCCCTGAGCCTGCTACTCAAGCAAAGGAGTTGGACCAGATGCCCTCCAGAGGTCCCTTCCAACCTCAGACATACTGTGGTTCTGTGCAATTAAAAAAAGCAGTAACCTGTTATACACAGTAAGGCATTTATTTCCCAATAAGGGCTGACATTTCTCTTCCACAGTCCTTTCTTTTCATTGTTTGGGAACAATATTACTTGGCTACTGCTCCATCTCCCACTCTCAAGGTGAGATGATGCAGATAAAGACTTCTGTTTGGATCAGAGATGTGGGTTAATGAAAAGAAAATTGAAAGTGGACATTTGCAGTACCACTGGAAGACAGAATCTGAACTGACTTTATAACAAAGGTCTGGAATGAAGTGGTGTAAGAATTGGAAAAGAAACATCTATGTGGAAGAAAATTACTTGAACTCCATTACCCTAGATCAAGAAACAAAGCCTATGATATCCAACCTGCGACTTGTTTTACATTATGAAGGGTTCAGAGGTTGACCTTGTGTGCTCCTCTTCTACTGTGGAGAAGATGAATGTAGGAATCATTTTCTGATTTTGAGATATGTTACTGAGATCTAGTTCTGAGGCCCCCAACACAGGAAAGACATTGACAGACTGAGGGAGTTCAGTTGAAGGTGACTGAGACGACTGGGGCAGGAGCACTTGTCCTTGAGAAGGGGCTGGGAGAGTTGGGCTGGTCCAGCAGGAGATGGGCATCATTGAGGGGACCTGACAGCAGTCCCAAGTTCTTCTAAGATGGCCATAAGAAGATGGGGAGCCAGGCTTTCCTCAGTTTTGCCTGGTGGGTAGATGAGAGATTCTGGGCGTACCCTGAAAGAGAACTTCAGACTGAGCTGAAACTTTTTCTCCACGAGGGCAGTCAGGCAGTGGAGGAAATTACCCTGAGACGGTTCAGTGTCCATCCTAAGAGGGCTTCAGCCCTAACTGGGCTTGCTCAAAGCCTTGAATGATCTGGTCTGACCTCAGGGCTGACCCTGCTTTGAACAGGAGGTCAGGCTAGAGATCTCCCGAGTTCCCTTCCAGTGTGAATTTTCCTATGGTCCTATGACTTATTACATTTTTTTCAAACTATGTTTGAGAGAACAGATAATAACTTTCCCTAATCTTTTTAAACTCTATTTCCAGAGACAAATTTCACCTACCATGTCCAGCACATTCCTTCCTCTGACGGCTGAAAACTGCTGATAAGTATGTCATTTATTATGGCAATTTTTATGATTTGGCACCACACTCACAAAAACCATTCAGGAGCCGCTTCGTATCAAAGTGGGCGATCATACACAGTCATTTCAAATGGAAACCATAGGTCATGGTGAGCTGGGCTATTCTGTGATTTTTGTGAATGAGAACTGAAAAGAGAAGAGAGAACTTGAAAAGTCAACTACTCTGACTATTTAGTCTCCATATCCAATTAGACGGCATCTTTACTTTATTGAGTATAGCTTATTTGACTATAGTAAAGTTTTAACCTCTCTTTTCAAGGACCACTGGTCAGTTTATCACTATGCATGTGGCCAGGCACAAGAAATGCTCCCAAATTATTAAGCTGTTCTGAACAATGCTTCAATACAATTGAGACTGCTGTTTTCATGTCCCTGAAACAGCAAAACCAGAAATATTTGCAAGCTGTGTTGACATTCTTGAACACACCATTAAGCAACAATAAAGGAGGTTGTCATAGCTGCTGTCTCATAATGGAAAAGGTTTGTCTCTCCCCAAACTGGTAGCATTTTGCTTATCAGAACATTAGGAAAAAATGTTAAAAACCAGAGCCAGAAAAAAAAAAAGCAAGACAACAAGACGATATAAATCTTTTGTTTTATCTTAGTTCAACGTGTATTCCCTTATTCCCATTTTCTGTCAATCTTTTAATCAGTCTTTGAAATTGAAAACCAACCAAAAAAAAAAAAACCCAAACAAAAAAACAACAACGACAAAAAACCAACAACAAAAAAAAGCACAGGGGAATGAAACCTAAGCTAACCAAGATTGGCCATATAACCAAAAGAAAATGTTCGCAGCTATTGTATTTCTTTGTCTTGTACAGCACTTCAAGAAAAACTGCAAAAGGAAAGTTTGCTTTCAGTATTTTGCAATTGAGTTTGAGTCTTGTACATTACCTCCTTGTGTTCTTTAACCCAACCAGAAACAGTTAATGTGCGCTAGCCACCAGGGGCTTAAACTGCAAGTACTTGGTATCCCCCCACTATTTATGGATGATGTGTATCTAGGACTCAAAAGTAAAACACAAACACGCAGCAAGGAGTGATTTGGATGAAATTCTTAATGCAGTGCTCTTTAGCAGTAGATTTCTCACTAGAATTTACTAATGGCAAACTACAATAAATAAAAGATTAATCACATGAACACGATTATGTGTAAATATTAATAAGCAGTGATATGGAAACAGATAAAATATGTATCCTTAAAATCTTTAACTGCAAACATTTTCATCAGTAATATTAATATTTCACTGTCATGAACTGTGTAACTGTAGTTCTATAACCAGTGTGGGATGGCATTGTTTTGAAGTTACTGTGGACTGAAGGTAATTCCCTGCAGAAACATGTTTCCCAGGAAGACATCTTCTGCTCACAGTGTTCATGCAATAACGTTAGAATTGTATTCAGCAGTATGCCCATAAGCACAACTGTTGCTGGGGTGATGTCAAGCAGGGCAGGAAGAGGTACAGGGTGTATCTCTTTGGTTATATCAGAAGATGGGTTTTTATACATTAAATATAAAAAGTTAGAAAATTCCAGCTTAGAAATCAAATTTAAGATTTTAAACTTTTTAAGATATTCGTGATGTATGGCATGCAACATATGACACAGATACAAAAGAAACTGCCACTGTCTTGTTCCTTCCAGCTGCCAGATGGACCAAAAGAAGCAGTGAGCAGAAGCACCCTTTGAATTTGATGAGGACATTGATGTGATCAGAACTCTCATAAACAAGCCCATCAGCAGGCATTGCCTCTGCCATCTATCGCACAATGGAGAATAGACAATCCTAGCATGAAGTTCTTCAAAAGATTACATTTGTTTTCCTTCATCCAACACGGAATTAGATTTACAGCATTTACAGTATTCAGGATGAAGATATTCAGCAGGCAACATTTTGGCCAAAACTGAGGAGATAAGCATTTTCTTCTTGAGAAAATGCCAACAAGTACATAATTTTATAACTTCAGCTCATGTTTCCAAGTACTTCTGAGCAGAGCGCATTTGTGAACAAATATCTGTTGATTATACCTTTTCTCACAAGAATACATCTCTCTCTTCCTTATACCAGACCCCCTGCTTCAGTGATGTTACATATCCTCTCTCTTCAGTGTTTCATCCTCATTTGATTTTCACATATTTCTCTACATTACTTTCTATTTTATTTCTGCACCTAATCTGCCAATGTTAAGACTATATTGCTAGGAATGAAGCATTCTTTCTTTGGTTACAACTTCGAAACTGTGATCAAGTTGTAAGAAAAGCAGTGTCTAAGCACAGGGAGGAAATCAATACCTATTATGAGTTGTTTTTAAAGACCACTACTGACCATGATTTCATCGTTTACTCAGGCAATCTTTTCCAATGATTTGTAATTCTACCAGTTCATACCACTGTTTAGTCAGAATCTTTCTTGCTGTGATTTGGGCTGATCATTTCTTGCCCTATTCACTGGAGATATTACCTCAGTCTTTGGAACTAAATTTTACATACTTGGAAGATCATTAGCTTACCTCCACGCTCAGCCTTGTCTTTCTTCGGTTAAAGAATCCCAAATAAATCATCTTACCATCATGTATATTTGTTTCTAGCTCTCTGATAAATTCTTGCTGATTTGAACTTCCTCCAGTTATCTATACATTTCTACAAAGGTGGTACTCAGCACTAGACACTGTATTCCACTTGGTGAACAGAGTAGCAGGATTATGATATTATATTTTGCTTATACATCTCAGAATACAATTTACCTTCTTCAATATCATAACATTTTGGGGAAATCTTCATTTCGAAGCTCTGTTCTGTAGCCAGATGCTGCTACCCCAGTTCTACTAGGAACTAGTAGTTCTACTAGGAACTAGTTCTACTCTTCCCTTGAATTTTAGACTATCATTTTGATAATTTCTCCAATTTTTCACAATATCTTTGATTCCTAACTCTGTTCTCCAGCACTCCTGAAGTCTCCTTCAGCTGCTCATCTTTGGCAAGCTTAATCCTATAGTTCTCTACTCCATCATTCAAATAATTTATTCCAGTATTGCAGATCCCTCTCAACATGCTGACATCTTCTCTTTGGCTTCCAAACTTGCCCTACATATTGGCTTGTGCCTTTAGAGGAGTTTCTTGGAAGACCCACTGTGTCTCTTTAACTCTTTTTTTCTTGAGCTTTACCATTATTAGACCTTATCTATGGACCCTGAATATGCTGAGCCTTGCTCTCAGGAAGCCTCTTCCTTTCCTAACACTGAATTAATGCAATTCTTGCCATACTTGCTGCCCTTCTGCTTTATCTTCGTAGCTAGCTCCTCCCACTTTCATTACAACCAAAACTAGAAGATCATCTTCTCTGGATGATCTGATTAGGACCACAAAAGTGATGAACAGAATTGAACAGTGAAGAAAGTCCAAGAAAGCTGAAACTAGGCTGGGAGGCTAGATATGAGGAGGCTAAGAGGGGATTTCATCAGTGTATATTAATATCTGAAGGCAGATTCTTTTCAGTGATGCCTAGTGCCTGAAAAAGAGGCAGTGGGCACAAACTGGAACACAAGGGGTTTCCCTGAATACCAAAGCTCTTCCGTGCTGTGTGAGTGACAGAGTGCTGGCACAGGCTGACCAGAGGCTGTGGGTTTTCCTCTGTGGAGATCTCCAGAAGCCACTTGGGCATGGCCGTGGGTCTTCTGTCTTGCGTGTCCCTGCTTGAGCAGGGGTTGGGCAAGATGGATCCAGAGGTACCTGACAACCTCAACCATGCTGTTATCCTGTAATTGCCTATTGTGGTTGGAACCTACCTCTTTACTTCTTGTAATGATAACTGTCTGTTCTTTTCTATAGCAGCGTTGGTGGGAATGTCTAGTCAACAATCCACTCCCCATATTTGTACAAACACGTCGGGTAACAAATATAATAATAAAAATGTCATTCTCATACAGCTGTAATTGTATAGGAATTGCATTTATACTGTAGAACTTATAATTGCTTCCCCGTTGTTACACTTTTTAAATGACTGCATTGAAACAATAATGGTTGTTTTATCTGGCTATCACGACCTGCCTAATCAAAGCCTTCTATCAAGTTTTGATAACTCCTTTGAAATTCTTTTAAGGGATCAATTTCAACAAGGTGGAGTCTGTTTTCATCTTCTTTAATCCTTTGCCAGAAGTGGTGCTTCTACTGTTTTTGTAGCAGATTAACTTTTAAAGAAGAAGTACTAGGACAATCAAATTAAAGATGTAAAAGGAATATTACTCTTAAAAAAAAGAAAAAGAAAAAAAAAAGAAAAAAAAAATAAGAAAAAAGCAACCTCTACATAGGCTGGCATAAATACATTGATGAAAAATGCTGGACTTTAACAGCAACATCCCAAAATTGAAAACTTCTTCAGCCTTATCTAACTGCAATCATTCTCATCTTCAATGGCTTCCAATCACCCATGTCCATTAGATTCAAGCTACACCTTCTCCACCTTCATTAAAATGGGTTTTCCATGCTGGATTCATACTGGTGAAGAAGGTGAAGAGCACAGTGAATAGAAAGCTCAGCTAAGAGTCTACAGAGATATAGAATCATAGAACCATAGTATCACAAGGTTGGAAAAGACCTACAAGATCTAGTCCAAATGTCCTCCTATCACCATTACTACCCGAGAAGCTACTAAACCATACCTTGTAGCACTTCATCCAGATGCCAGAGAGAGGCAGAAGAGACATTTCTGGTTTTATCTCCCTGACTGTTGGCATTAACCTCGTAGCATATGTCTAATGTGTAGGTCAGGTGAGTAAATCAGGTCTCCTGACCACTGAAGCCAATGGAGCTCAACAGTGGACCACTGGAACCAATTGGAGATTCTTGGAGTACAGTATGCTTCCAGCCCAGAAGCCTGGATTTTCTTCCACTAGAAATGGAAAAGAGGAGAAAAGTGTGTTTCTGACACATAACTGTGATATGCCTTAGATGTGCACATAAGCCAAGGCATGACTGAGATGTGCATCATCTGAGCCCACAGCTTAGGTCTGGCAATGAGAGAATGACATTACCCTCTCCCTCCTCCTCTGAGGTGTATCAAACAGGTCTCAAAAACTGGCTTATCAAATAGAAGATATTTCTTTTTTCCAGCTAAAAGGAAAGCAGCAACCCAACACTACCTTCATTTGCTATTATCCACATAATATAGCTTGAGATTGAAAGATTAAAAAACAAAAACAAAACCTCAATTAGATCCATTAAAAAGCTGAGATATGAGGAAAGGTCTTCAAAAACTTTGATTTTGCATTAACAGAAAGGTTAATGAATCTAGCACAGTTTCAGACACTGGAAGGACTATTTCAGCTGACAGAAACAACTTGAAGGAAAATCAGATAAATGCTACAGGCAGGTGCCAAAATATTTTTAAATGCAACTTGCAATGGGCTTCCTGAAAGGGATTATTTAGTAGAAAAAGAGGCAAGATTTCATCCCTGCCTTTTTTACGATCCTATTCTAAAGATTTCCACAACAATAGTATAATCTAGTTCTTCAGGCCTGAGAAAGGCTTTTAAATCTGCTCTTTCAGAGGTCTTTTAAATATTTTGGCAATTGGAGTCATCATTACAGATTGGAAGTCTGTTGAAATGATACATTAGAGACATTTGGCTTTACTTTGCATTCTTACAGAAAGAAACCATTCTGAAGGAAAAAGAGAAAGAATATAAAAAGAACTTTACTGTCCTGCTGAGAGTCACTTTACCTACTTTTCCCCTGACCAGACGTCCTACTGGAAAAGCACTGCAATGGATACCAGGACTTCAGTGGCATCCTTTGAACAGGACTCTGTCCTTTTCTTGTCAAATCCTACTTGCTTTCCCTTCACTGCTTTCTGATAATGTTATTATCAAAGGTTCCCTTGTAGTGAACATATGGATGCTGAAAGATCCACGAGAGGCTTTCTCTTTGTGTTGAATTCTTTCATGTGCTGGAGAAAACAAGGAGTTGGTGCTTGGAGAACATGGAAGCTCCAGCAGACTGAAAAGGAAATTGATTGATCCATGGGTCAGCTCCTGCGAGCTCCAGGGCTAGCCTAGGGTTGTCTGCATAGCCCTGTAACCCATGGTGTGGTACACTTCTATACCATAATGATTCATAGGGAAAACGTTATCTCCTTGATTTGTTACAGGACACTGTTGCATAACTTGCCTCTGAAGTACTAACAACAGATTTGCCTTTGTAGTCTTCCTACACCGTACTCTCTCCTCTCCCATCAGTAACACCAGACTGCCTTCCCTCTGCTCAGAAGCCTTTGAGGTTTTGGTAGGCCACCAAGTGAGACTCAGCTAGGTACTGTGAGATGACATTAATCTGAAGAGTAACATCGTGCTGCAATTTTTAAAGGGCTTCTGTGATATACACTAAGAGTTACAGTATCCTAGGTCCATGCTATAGGAGCATCTTGGCGCGGAATAACTCTGTCCAGAAGTTGTGTAACAGTTTTCCTTGTAAGACTTTAATTCCTTTAAATTGGTGAGTACCATCATTAGCTCACGAGTATCATGAGAGCAGCAGGAGCTCAAGGTGCCAAGATTTTAAGTGCTTTGCTCAGGATCAGAGGAAGGCTAGAAAAAGTCAAGATTTTACCCTTAGTATGATAAGTCTGCTCTACACATGTGCTTCCAACCTGATGTAGGAACAAGCCTGCCCCAGACCTGCTGCTTTCGATGGATTTTTTTTTCTATTAACATGAATGTGTTAAATTTCAGGGTGCATTCCTGCTATGAAGAGCAAAAGGCAGAAGGTCAGAGAATGGGGGAAGCAGTATTTTTGAATGAAATACCATTAAATGACTGAATGTTAGTTAGGAAAGAAAATAAAATGTGAAGAGAGTCATGAAGGTAATAAAAGAAATGTGAGATGGTTGAATCTTGAGAAGGGGAACAAAAGCAAGCTAACGAAGATACTAATATACCTAAGTAAGTTAAAGTAGTTAATTAGTTAGGAAACATGCTTATGGAGTATGAATTATAACGTCAGTGGGGAAAGGAGGCTGTTTTTCTCCAGATGAGTGTCCAGGGATTACCATCTGTCAAATAAGAAAGAGCCTCAAGGCCGAATTCAATCATTATTTGTAGGTCTTTGAGAATATTTTTGCTTCAATTCTATTTTGTTATACTTCTGATATTGGTATCATTTTTATAAAATATTCAGATCCTTGTTTTATAACTTTTGTATGGAAAACTCAGACAACTGTATTCCAGTATTGCAATATTGGACATTTCCACCTCTTTTCCCCTGAACTCCAGACAGGCATTTTCAGGCTGTTGCCTGGACTGCTTTCTTTCCTGCCTGTTTTTTCTCCACTGGTTTTTTCTTTAGCATAATTGAAGTTTACTTTCCAGGTAATAAGGAGCAAGAAGGACTATATTCAGCAAAATGTAAGACATTTCTCCCCGTAGAGATTAGGAGATGTTACAGCAGGTTAACACTCCAGCTGGTGGGTAGCTCATATTAAGCTGTGGATCTTTGAAGCCAAATGAATGTTGTGAACTTTCCACCCATATCACAGTACAGAAACATCTGGGTGAAATAGCATTGAGCTTACTCACAACGAAAACACACAGAGGAATACATGCATACCTTCTTGCTCATCTCCATGGCTGAAAGTTGAGCTGAAGTGTGAAAAAGATTAAGAAAGCCACTGGTTTTGAAATCTCAGGAGAGCTGTTTTTCACTCCTTCTGCAAGAGAAACTGAACTGCTTGATGATAAGATGTTCCTCTCTTCATATTTAGCATGCTCTAAAATGCTCTAAAACCATACACTGATAGGTAAATAAATAGATAAATAGTACAGAGAGAATACACTTTTCAATAAGTAAAAGTCATCATTTGAATTTTCCTGGGCAAGCACCATATCAGAAGGTGCAAAGAACTTTTGGGGCTACTCAGCTGAAATCCATAAGTCTCCCAGTTGCTTCCTCCTCCTTCGATCCCCAGTCTCTGTTCTGATACTGTTGGTCACAACGTCATTCATTTCAATGGTTTCTATGATGTGTCTATTTTTCCTGTAGAGCCAAGCTGGAGCTTTGTCTACATCACAAAGTATTATAAGCCTTCATAAGCTTTATAATCAGCAGCATATTTAATATACGTGTAAGAAGTGACGATTTTTAAAGTGAAGTCTGAATGCAAAATATAGGTGTTAACTATTTTAGTTATGATCATCTGATGTAATTCTAAAACTTTTGGTTGCCTGATGGTCTGACAGGATATTAAAGATCCTGAATTACATTAATAGATCATCAAATTACTGAAATGAAAATATTTCAAGTCATAAAGGATTCAGAGTGGAAAAGCAGGGAGACGTTATAGGGGGAAAAGGGCTTAGTATTTTCAAGAAAAGAAAAGAAAACAGATCATTTACACAACAAAGAGCACACATTTGTTTAAAACAAGCTGATACTGCTGAGACAATATTTGGATGTACTTTCATGGCGCAGAATACACGTTTTATCTTATGTTATGAAACCTGGAGTGATGAATACAATGCCATGCAGAAAATATTCACCATGAGCACAGACACTGTAAATTCTGGTTTCAGCTTCAGCAAATCCATACCTCATGATGTAATAAACTTGTTAATTTCATTTAGGTTCCAACTTGTCATGATCAGAGCTTATGTTTTTTTCTGTATCTGTACCACACCTACCATGTAGTATTAGAGGAAGTTGCAGTGATATCTATAAAAAAAAACTTTACTTAATACTTATTACATATTTAATATAAGTTACTAATAATTAATAATAATTGTACTTATGATATCAACAAGTTACTGCTGCAAAGCACTTTCCAAGATACAAACTATGCTTTTGTCATGTCTGTTTTCGAAGATAAGGTTCAATGTAATAGCAGCTGATTAAAAGATTGCACTGTTTTAAAATCAATATATGTCTTTCTTTTCTGCCTGTCTTTCTGTAACTCCTTTTTTCTTTTCTCCTGGTTTATCCCTGACCTTCTTTTATTTCTGTTTCCAGTTTATTAAAATTTTCCTCTCTTCTTGGCATGAGAAATGGACTTGTGGCCTAGAGACTTTCAAACATACTTCTGTAGCCATGGATTTCACATACCTAGCCTGCTGTCTGCACTGTATTTAAACTGAAAGGTTATACTGAAGAAAATATTTCTGGAAAAATTTATGAACTAAAAGTACTTTACAACCATTTATAATAGCATGGCACTGGTACTGAAGGACAAATGGATCCGGTAGGCAGGATACACCAGCTGTGTTTGCCAGCCTTGTTAACACCCCTATGAGCTGCTGCAGAGATTAAAGAGCAGAGCAAGCAAACGGAAGGAAATGGAGCAGAGCGCAGCTTTGCTTTGCTTTGCTTTGCTATCCTCCCTTCCTCTCCCCCATTTTTGACTTTTACTTCCTTTACTTACAGGAAAATCAAGTTGTGTGCAGGTGGCAAGCAATCTGAAAGAATGTAGCTTTTCCTTCCATTAACTGAAGAAGTGAATGGTTATTTATCAAAAGTTTCCATCTTTTTCACTAAGCAAAAGTTTCTTAACTCTTTCTTACTTTTCACCCTTGTTGCTCTTTTAATACTTTCCCTTTCATTTAGACTTATGTTTTTTGAAGAACCATCATTCACCAACATCAACAGATATTAAGAACAAGTAGTATGATCCATTGGCAGATCTGAATTTTCATTATTTTCTAAGAACAAGGAAATTACCTTCACATCACTACTGACAGAGTTTGGAATTACCATTTCACAGAGATAACTATGGCCATAGGATGGCACAAAGAGCAGTCAGATGATCATCTGCTTTGATACAAAGAGTCTGATTGTCATTCCTGGCTGTAGTGACACCATTTGTACTTTACAGTGCCAATTTTTTTTCCAACACAACTGCCACATTGTGCCCAACATAGCAGATGTCATGTTTAGTGCACCAATCATGAGTCTAACATCTCCAACCCAACATCATCCCTTGCAGATGAAGGAAGTGGTCAAGTTACTGTCTGGCTAATATTTATTCAAAGATTTCTTGTTTTTTTGTCTGGTTATAATGTTACTTTTTGTTTTATTTTTATCTTTAATTGTTCCACTGGAGCAAATGATAGCATCTAGATTCATTCATAGTCCGGGCATTAAGCAGCCAGTCACTGAAATGCACAGTGGAACTCCTGTTGTACAGTTTTATATTTAAGTGTTGTTTGCATGTCATTGTAAAGGTCCTAGCTGTTTTGTTTATTACTCAGGTAGTCAAGAGACCTGTTTAGCATACATGACTATAGTTCGAATGCTACAGATACCAATACATACGAATATTAATGCAAGGTGCTCCATCTTCTTGCAAATTTTCTTGTCAATACTTCACATTCAAAAATTATGAGCCAGGAGGAAATATGTGTCACTAATGAAAACCAATGCCCTTCATTTTCTACAGCATCAGGAATGCCTTTCAATCTATTTCCTCAGCTGTGTGGACTCTCAGTGGAGTGACACTCTCAAGACATTACAGCCTTCCTCTACATACAGTAATAATCTAGAAAAAATCACATTCATCATTTCTTAATATTTGCTTTTATTTAGCTATAAGCAAACTCAAATGATATGCTGTTCAATTTCCAACAGGATTTGGGGTCCAGACTGAGCAAAGTGACTTACAGGAATTCATATAAGATGAGATAGTCGTATATTTTATCCCACACACCTCTGCAAAAACATCAAGGCTGTAGTGTTCCAAAACATGTGGTTTTGTGTGTCGAGCATTTAGGCTGTTATGGGACCAATTTCCTTCAGATTAAGTTGCTCAGTTCTCACAAGATCCAGCCACACCAGGTGGTTACCACCTGAATAGCCCTTTCACCTTGGTAAATCCATCCCAGCACTCTCTCCAGCTTTGGCAGAAGCAGCGATTTGAAGTTAGAAACAGTGCCCTGGAGCTTCTTGTGACACCATCTCTAGAACCAAACTTATAAATTGAGTAGTGAGATTGGAATTTCCCCCAGGTAACTATGCTGTCATCTTCACAACTGCTCTCCAGCTGCACAAGTCGTAATGGTATATGCAGCACCATGTGCTACCAACAACTGCCAGGAAAAGTAGTCACGAGACATCCTGAAATGACTGTACTTATTTCTTTTAATACTATATGCATCTTTGGCTTTCCTGCATTAGTGGCCAACTGACTTGTTCAAGGAATTATGAACACCAGCTGAAAGAAACAACATCTACCCTGTCACCAAAAGTAAAACTCTTGGTGGCCTGGAAGACACACAAAAACACATCTGTTGTAGGAAACTGATGACAAAGAATCAACCATAACATGTACAGCAAGAAAAAGTGCGGGCCCACAGACTTTGATGGGAGTGGTGGCAGCATCTCAGAGGTGTTTAAACCTCAAGAGAACTGATGCTCTGAATATTTGCTGTTCTCCTGTGCTGTGTCCTCCAAACATTTAAGATATGGAACAGAAGCTATATGGGGAAGTTCCTTCAGAACTCTTCAAAAAGGAGATGAGATCACAGGAACAGAGCATGAGGCTGAACCCTCATTACACACGAGTAGGGCTTCCTGCTTCCATAGGGCAGTTCTGCTTCTGTTTTGGGACCTCCCACATTCCTCCCAAATCACTTCTTTGAAGAGAAGGCTAAATAGTAATCCAGATTGTAACTGCAGATGTCTGGATCTTCTGCCCATTCCTTCAATTTAGTAATGCTTACTAAACAAGTAAATGTCATGTTAACCTCGACGAATATTTGCACTGTGTTTATTCTGAATTCAGAAGCAAATGTATCAGCAAGCACTTGTGTCCCAAAGAAAAAGCATGTGGATTTGAATCCATCTCATTTCCACAAAAGGGAAAACGGAGGTAGACTTTCTCAGAAGCTTCTAGAAGCACCAAAGAAAAGAAAGTGGGTAAAATGGAATCAACTGTGTTGTAGAGACTGTTGAAGCGGTCTCTATAAACAAGCCCCCAAGTTTGATTTAGGAAAAAAAAAAAGACATGCTACTCTGAACAGACCTTTTCTGCCCTATGAGCTTCAGTAGGAAAACCTGGAGAAAACTTAGAGAAACACAGAAAAAAAGAAAAAAAAAAAAAAAAAAAAAAAAAAAAAAAACCTGAGCAGATCATTTACAAGGAATATTGAAAGCATTAAATTATTTGAGCTTGGCTAAACAATGGCAAAACAACATTTTCAGTCTACAAGTATTTTTAAACTTTATTTTTAAACGATGTTTTTGCAGTGAGGCAGCTTGTAAGTGAAGTGACTATGTAGGCGACTCCTTTTAATACAACATCTCCCTGGCAACAAGACCAGCAAAAATAGAAAAAGAGATTAGATGACCAATTGTTTCTTCCATCTCTCATGTCTTCAATTCCTTTGCTGGATGGCTGATGCAGAGCTCGGACTCAGCGACTCCTCTGGGTGGGTGAACCTCGATTCGGTATGTTGCCTTTGGCAAAAATCATTACATGCAGCTACAAGGTATGCGATGCTGATATCGTATGGCTGTAAAAGGAGAAAAAAAATTCTTTGAAGTGCCAATAGAAAGTCTTGGCTATCACGGGACCAAAATTTCAGCATTTCCTTATGAATATTTTTAAGATCTAACTTAAGGAAACAACAAGGAGATTTTGGGAAGAATCGACAATTGATCCAGGAACCATGGCTGGGAACGGTTCCTTGGAAAGGCATCCAGCACAGCCCTGAACTTCATGGACGCTGCAGCAGCACAGAACAGATGATGGAGAAAATGCAGATGCATTATTGACTGAGACAAATAAAAGGTGCTCAAAATCAAATGTTTGATTCAAAATGTATGGTCTTCAAATTCATTCCAGTTAGAAGAAGGGAATACCTTGTGCGCGTGTGCCTGATACAACCCCCTGTAGCTGTTCTCTGTCCTTGCCCTTCTCACTCTTGTAATGCACCCCTCAGACCCCTACCAGAGTGCAGTTGCTGCACAGTGGGTCAGTGCTTGATATGGGATACTCCTCTATGGGGAACATATTTTCATACTTCTCTGTCTTCACCAGTTAATAACTTGCTCTATGAGCAAAAGCTGGTTTTAACCTTAAGAGCCTTAAATGGTAAGAATTACTTCTGAGACTGCCTTGACATCTGTGGCACAAAGCAACAAAGATCACAGGGAGTGCTCGATCTAGGAGAGTCCAATTTAACTGCCTTTCATTTGTTTTCACTGGCTTGCACTCTCAGTAGTTTTGAAGCATTTAATTCAGATCTCACCCAATTCAAAAACTCTGGAACTGCACCTTCCCAGGGCACATTGCAAGTTCCAGTTGTTCTCCCCAGTTTTTTATTTTTCAGTAAAGGTCACAAAAGAATATGACAAAAGCATATTGCAACATGAAATGAGATCTATAAAATATGTTTTTGTTACTTATGGCCAGATTATTCAGCTCTTGGCAGACACCAACACAGATATGGGAAACAGGCATAAAGGGCAGCCCTAAATCATGCAGTTTGCAACAAACCTCACTTGGCAGTGTCAAAAACTGCAACAAACCTCACTTGGCAGCTAGCTGAATCAATTAGCCATACCCCTTTCTGTCAGACATGCTCAAGGAATGGCTGTTCTTTGGAGAGGAAAGAAAGATGGGGAAACCCCACTCAACTGATCTAACTTTCTGATGGCAGAACATCACTTTAATCACCATTAGGTTCTTCAAAATGCCAACCTGTTCTTGCAGATCTTGCTCACGTGTATATTCTTATTCTGAAAAATACTCTAAGAGACAACCATCTATGAGCTGTTTTGTCCAGAAAGAGCCAAAAACCTGTACGTTCCAAATGATCTGTTCATATGCCCCTTCTGTAGCTCTTGAAATCAGTTAGGTTATAGGTTCCTCAAGATTTCATTGGCCACATGCACCAAAACAAATCTCACTTGGTGAATAATTAAAG